GGGCCGCGAAGCGTAGGGCGGCGGGGCCGCGAAGTACAGGGCGGCGGGGCCGCGAAGCGTAGGGCGGCGGGGCCGCTAAAGCAGGGCGGCGGGGCCGCGAAGTGCAGGGCGGCGGGGCCGCGAAGTGCAGGGCGGCGGGGCCGCGAAGCGTGGGGCGGCGGGGCCGCTAAAGCAGGGCGGCGGGGCCGCGATCGTAGGGCGGCGGGGCCGCGAAAGCAAGGCGGCGGGGCCGCGAAAGCAGGGGCGGCGGGGCCGCGACAGTAGGGCGGCAGGGCTGCTAGGGGAGGGTCTGCCGCTGGGGCGGCTGTTTGAGTGAATAGCCCGAGGCGCGACTCGCGATGAGCGCGCTTCGGGCAGAAAAAAAAAGGTTCGTAGTGGTGGGCCCTAGGCGCAGTTCCCACAGGGGAACCTGCTCGATACCATGAGAAGAGTTGAACGAGAATGAAATGACTATGAATGAAGTGAGTACATATAGGAAACCCTAATCGGGTTGTACCCCCTATGGGATACCCCACTATAGCCTACACAAATAAGTAAGCTATAATGTTCTGACACGTCTCTCAACTACAAATTGAAGGACTCGGTCTTCGTTCAATTCAGGTCAGCTCAGTTGGCGATAGAACCAAATTTTTGTAGCTGAAAATCTTGTCATTCGAGCTTCACTTCAGTCAAATTGAGCTCTTGGTCTCAGAGTACCGCCATGACTGTCGCTGCATTGTCCAACCTGCCTCTGCGCTTGGTCTGGTTGTTTCTGATGCTGTTTTTCGCGCTGGTTCTCTCGGGTGAGTCTTCTCTAATCTACCTTAACTGTCTACGCATCAATTTGGAATATCTCAGCGGAAATGGGTCGTCAAGCCTGACGACCCTCTGACGACTTGACGACATGCTGCCCCAGGCAGAAAAAAACTAAAACCCTATTGGATGGCATGCCATCCGAGGGAGGCATCAACCCTAAATCCATGCCTCCCTGTGTCTAGGGTTGATGCCTCCCTGACCGGATGCATGCTCTTCTGGGGTTTATTTTTTTTTGCCCGCGGGCAGCGAGCTCCCCTGGGCGGACTCGCTTGTACGCTGAGATATATTCGGCGGTATGCGATTCGTTTCTCTTCTGGGTCTCTATTGCGTGTTAAGGCTGATTTCGTGTTAAGATTTCCCATAATTGTGTAAGAGCTTTCATCAGCTACACCTGAGTCATCTCTAACGCTACCAACACTACCCTGACAGGAACATCCCTGGCGGTGGCATCTCATGACAATCCGCTGGGGATAGCTGCAAGTGAAACCATAGTGTCTGAAGCTGCAAGCGGCGCCATGGGAACCCCCTCGCTCATTTTCAAGCATCGCAGCCTGCTGAGCTCGACCACCACCACACCCCAGCCCTTGCCCACCATAGCTGAGCCCTTGCCTGTTGACCCTCTCGCCTCTCTGTCCACTACCACCAGCGTTGGGGGCACTGGCGATTTGGTTGTAGGCAGTACTCTCCTAGCTTTAGTACTTCCTCGCCATGGCGACCCCTACTCCCTACAGTTCGAGGGCGAAATCTGCCCGGGAAAAAGTTTTTTCCTGCCCGCCCAGCGTATTTTAGCGTATCAGCAGTACGCCAGCCATGGCGTATGGCGTATATACCCAGCGTATAATACGCTAGCATATTATACGTGATACGCGTATCTGCCAACGTATAACAGAAATGGCATGGGAACGGGGATGGCGATGGCAACAGCATTGGGAACGGCAATGGGAACGGCAATGGGAATGGCAACGGGAACGGCGATGGGAAGGGCGATGGCAATGGCAATGGGAGTGTGGTGACTTTGTGATCCACTCTGAGCTTGCTTTGCTTTGCTTGACTGGTCTTGTGACCCCTTGTTCTCCCCCACTTTGCCTATGGGGGTGTGTCAGATTTATATGACATAGCTACTGTAGGCTATAGTGGGGTAGCACATATGGGGTACAGCTTTCTAGGGTTTGTACTTGTACCCAACTTTCCCTTAGTCATTCTCATTCTCGTTCATTTTCGCACGGCGGTCGTCACTTGTCGGCCAAAGAGTTACGATGGCGAACAATGTCTTTCGCGACCAACATCGCAGGCACAAACGGTCACGGGCAGGTTCGTTGGAGCACAGTTTTCACGGTCAGGTGGGCGCGGAATTGTGAGCGGCTGGCCTTGTCGTATGCGGCGGAGCCTTCCGCCCAAGCCTTTCGGAATCCGGAGCACACGGATGCAAGGCCTCGGATCATGAGGCAAAAGCATTCGGAACTCCGCCACAACGTTATCAGAGTCCCCCAAGATTCACCCGCAAATGCTCAGATGGTGGAAAGCCGTCGGGGGCGACCACGGACCACCTCTAACTGCATTTTGGTTGCGTGCACCAGCTTTGAATGCCTCAAGCAGGCCCCTAGATTCGTTTTGAGGTAGTCTGACGCCTCGGAGTACACCCCTCTTCCTAGTCTGGCTGTCAGAGTTACCTATTTTTTCTAGTCTGGAAATTCAGAGAGCACTACGTTTTTTGTGCTGAACGTTCAGAGTTAAACACAATTTCTGTTCAGAGTTAAACACGTTCAGAGACAAGGCGAATCTCTACTCTGACAAGGCGAATCTCTACCCTGACAAGGCAAATCTCTGCCTAGGCGGGGCGAATCTTCGCCCTGACAGGGCGAATTTTCGCACTTCGCTCTGTACAAGGCGAACCTTCGCACTTCACCCTAGGCATGGCGAATCTCTTTCTTGACAGGGCGGATTTTTGCCCTGACTGGTTGACTCTTCGGTGTGATAGAGGGCAAAAGTGGTGTGACAAAGCAAGCGTGTGCCCGATGGGCCCATCTGACGCATCAGGGGGGTTCAAAACCTAGCAAGGACCCTGCTCGGGAGTTTGCGGTGCCGCGCTCGGGAAATTTTGGTTTCCCGCCCGTGATCGACAGTGAGTGTTACACGCCACCAGGCTGGCGGAGACCGCTGTATTACGGGTTTCAGGGGGCACCCCCGATACAAGTATGAGGCTCAGGCTACACTAATAAAATTAGGCTGAAATTTCAGACAACTCATAAAGGAAAACTCTGAAAAATCAGACAAGGTACATAAAGATATTCTTAGACTTCAGACTAGGCACAAAAAAAAAGTCTGAACGGACTCTGAATCAGACTACAAAGTTTGGTATCTAGGGCCCTGGCCTGAAGTCGATGACAGGTGTACAAATATTTTGTTCAGTAAGGCAAATATAGATTGATCAGATTTAGAAATTAGACAGAAACATGAAAGGGCCTTTCCCCTTTTCACCTTACCTAACTGATCAGCTTGTCACACTTCTCCTAGCATCATCATTGCATCCAATAAAAAATATTTACCATTTGGGATGCATGAAACTGGAAATGTTTGCTCGCTGGGTTCAAAGCAAGTGAGTCACAAAAAATTTAACAATTTCGCTCATTTTTAGCGACCAGAGCGGGAGAGGTAGGCGGAGCAAGAGGAACAGATGGAGATAGGACGAAATGGAGAGGGCGAGGGGAAAAGGTGATGGATGGTGTGGAGGACACGGGTTGTTTATACACGAACAAGCGTGGGGAGAAGTTCTATGGATGGTGGTCAAACCGCGTTATGGCCGACTCGCATATCGAGGAAGAACGACTACCATGGGTACGTGATTATGGACGAAGGCTCTCTTCCTCAGGTATATACAACGCTACGAAGTTGAGTGATGGTCGTTACCTGGTGAGGATTTCGGGGGAAAAGTCTAGACCATCATTTGGTTTGATCGCACGGCGCTACCGGTACAAAGCTGGAGTGATTTCCGAGATAGCACATATTCTCTTCAGGCGGCCATTTCCATACGAGCTTGTGTTTATCACACAAGAACAGCTCAAAGAGGCAGCTGAAGTGAATGTGGACGAGGTGGATTGTTGGGACACTCTGATTCGTAAGCTATGCCGGATAAGGAGGAGGCGAGAATGAGCGGAAGGGGTTGCCAGTGGAGTGGGGTAGAGGAGGGGAGATGAAGGGCGAGGAGGGTTGAATAAAGAAGGGGGATGGGAGTGGTTACCGGTACGTGTGGAAGGGGGAGAAGGGAGAGTGGACGAAAAGGAAGGGAGGCGAGGAGCTGAAAGATGTGCCTGGAGTGCCAAATCTGCAGCAAGCGATGCTTTCATCACCAGAACCAAGTGTTTCTCATGATGTATACATTGCAATAAATGAAATTCCTACAATGCTACCGTGCTGCATGTTGAAACAGCTTTTGCACTTGGTACAAGAGAGGCTTACACTAGTTGGCTGAAGCCTCAAGAAACCCGGTATTTGAAGTTGCACATCTTATAACATCCTCCTGGCCTCCATCATGGGGAATAAATGTTTAAGCAGGGCAACTAGAGTGACACAAGGGGCCGCGTGTGGAGTCGCCAGTGCGGTACTGGCAGTACTCGAGCATGCGGTGCAGCAGGCACGTCTGGCAGTGCTTCTGCCGCGTGCGGTGTGGAGCAGCGCTGCCATGGCCTCCTCCTCTTGGCCGATAAGGAACATCAACTTGCGCGCTCGCGTGAGCCCCGTGTACAGCAGGTTGCGACTGGGGCAGGCAGGCGCACGTGGTGCAGGGGCATGGGGGCACACATGGGATGCATGCGTTGTGGATGGGCGACGAATGATGGGGCAGGAAGATCGTGTGTGCAGTGGAGTCGCACAGAGGGATGGCTGGGTATAAGCGCAAGGTACATGGTGCATGCTAGTGCATGGTGCATGGTAATGCATGGTGCATGGTAGTGCATGGTGCATGGTAGTGCATGGTGCACGGTAGTGCATGGTGCACGGTAGTACGCACGGCGCGCAGCACACACGGGCTCACACGCTGCCCCGCTCACACGCTCGCAGCACGCACAGGCTCAGCATAGAGTATCAAGGAGTAGGGAGAAAGAGGACGAGCGGATGTGGTGCGAGAATTAGAGGCCCCATACAAAAACTAGGCGATCGTTGGCAGCATGGCAGGCAATTGCGATTGAGAAATGGGAATGTGAGGCATTCTATTGTAAGGACGAGAAGAAACACAGGGATGAGAGGGGGTGCAACGCGCGTGGCACATGGCTTATGGCACACGGAGCAGGGAGCATGCACCCGGTGATAAGGGCGAGGAAGTTGCCGGGTCCGACGGGCGGCAGCTGGTCCTTGTCCCCCACGAAGAGAATCCGGCAGAGCTGAGGGCATGCTGCTAGCAGCGCTGCCACCAGCGGCACATCCAGCATCGACGCCTCGTCCACTATTATGGCGTCTGCCTGCTCACATGCCAAATGCATGGCCACACATGCCATGCCACACATGTTATTACACACACGCACCGGGACATCACTGAACGAGTGCAGGTGACTGTGCAGCTGGTGGGTGGCTGTGCCACGACTGGTGCAGTGGGGGGCACAAGAGAATACCGCAGCTGAATAAGACAGCAGGCAGAACGGAGCAAGAAGCTCCACTGGTGATGGATATGGGTGGCACGGCACGTTGAGGGGGGTGCACGTTGAGGGGGGTGCCCTTGTGGTGGTTGAAGAGCGGCAGGTCGTTGCCCAGTGCGCCATCGCACACCATGCCCGCGCCGCCACTGCCCGCCCCACCCGCTCCTGCGCCACCCATGGCTGCAGGTGAACTAGGCGTGCGCCTTGTGCTTCTCGCCTCCTCCAGCCGCAGTAGGACTGACTAACCAGTGGCAAACATGGAACTGGCAGTGAGGGTGCTTGCATTGCATGGAGGGAGCGAAGGGAGCCCAACCCTTCGCTCTCACCCCCTTCGCCCCCCCTCCCCACTACCCTTCTCTCTCACCCCCTTCGCCCCCCCTTCCCCCCCTCCCCTTGCACCTTTCAAAGCGTGTCTTCAACGGCCCCCTTCCCCTCCTTGCCACCACTCTTACCCCCCTCCTCTCCCCCTTCTCTCTGCACACCCCCTCCCCCCCCTCCGCCTTCTTGCGCTTGCACCTGTTCGAGCGTGTTGGATGGCCTGGTCGCTGAGCTTCTTGCTGCCGCCCTTGTTGAGCAGAGCGGGCTGTTGCCAGCAGCACGTCGCCAGCAGCTCGCACTCGTGCTGCCGCCCACGCCCTTGCTGCAACACGTCTCAAACGCCTCCTTCAACGCCTGCTCGCCCTGCCCCCTCCCACACACACACGCACGTTGCCACGCGCATGCACGCCCACATGCACACATGAAATTGCGTGTTGGCCAGCCATACAAACAGTTAATGGGGTAATGCAAAGGGGGTGAATGGAGGCGGGGCGCCTACGACGGCAACAAGGAGACGTTGACAAAAAAACCGGCTGAGGGAGTGAGGCTGAGGAGAAGGAAGGGGAAAAAGGCGAGAGTGAGACAAAGAGGGGCGGGGGGCGACCTTGTGGAAGAGCGAGTGGTTGAGGAAGCCGTGGTTGCCGTGTTGCAGATACTTGTCGCGCAGCTCTATCACCTTGTGCACACACGCCTGCTCCTGCACCCCCACTATGTCCTTCTTCTCCGCCTGCTCGCTCAGTGGGGCCCGTGCAGCAGCGGGAAAGGAGAGGGGGGGGAGGAGGTCAGGGTTGAGGGAAGGAGGTGAAGATGCAGGATGCGGGATGAGAAATCGGGGACGCATAGTGAGGGATGCGGGTGCGGGATGCAGGATGGGAATAGAATAGCCCAAGCTAGTGAGAGTAGGGCAGGTGGTGCGGAGGCGAGAGGGCACACCCGGGTAGGAGCAGAGAAGAGAGGAGGCGAGGAGGGGCGCACTGACCTTGCTGTTGCTGGCCGCATCCTCTGCCTGCTTCACTTCTCCAGCGCTGTGCCCTCGTCCGTCTCATGCTGCCCTCGCACACACACATGCACGCACGCACGCACGCACGCACGCATGCACGCATGCACACATGCACACACAGACGCACACACATGCACACACAACCCCACACACACATACAGAGTGTGAGAAGCAGCGAGCACACTTAAGAACAGGGACGGTACTGCCGGGAGGCAAGGGGGAAGCACATGCGGGGCAGGGAGCAGGCGGGCTGGAGGCCGTTGGGGATGCGGCAGCAGAGGCGGTACATGCGCGACAGATGCTCCACCTGCCACCACACACACATGCGCACACCCACCCCGCAACACAACAGTTTTTTAGAAGCGCGTTCATGCATGCGAGAACGAGGCCAAAATAGACTAAAAATAGGTCGCGTGAGAGGGAAACAAGGGATGCTGACATGCCCCCCTCATGTGCATGGCGGCATGGAGGCATGCAATCATCTTAATCACGCTCCCCAGCATGCCCCATGCTGCCCTCTCGCTCTCCTCCGCGTGATCGCTCCTCCCCTTACCCCCCTCCGCCCTCTCCTTTGCAGAACGCACCAACGATTCACCAGACAGATACCCCTGCCCTCCGCCTTCTCCCACTCCTGGACCAGCAGCACCACCGCCACCACACGCGCGCATCTTCTCTCCGCGCCATCTCTCCTCCATGGAACCCCACCGTTTTTACCAATCGCCCTCCCCGCTTGCATCTCCGCGTCCCTCGTTCCGCGGGCGCCCTCTGCGCCCCCTCCGCCACCCTACCCGCACTGCCTCTGCCTGCACCCGCTTCGCTCGCCCCCGCCCCCTCTCTTCCGCTCTCCCCCTGGTCTTCTGACAGCTGCGCGCTCGATGCCCCTCTCCGGGCTTTCTTCCCCGCGCTCCCCAGCATTCCGCCATTCGCCCCCACGCGTTCATGCTCCCGTTCCGAAGCTTGTCACCGTCAGTCCGTGTTCGAACACACGAGGGATAGGGTTTCTGAATGGGAGTAGCAGATCCACCCACCATCCGCGCCTTCCCCTGCCGGCGGGCGCTGTTATCCGGCGAGTCCGGAACACTTTCGAGGTTCTCTCCCGCCTTCAACCCCAGCCACTCCGCCTCTCGTTTCCGCACACCCCGCGACCAGCGCCGCTCCTCCATTTCCCCCACTCCTCCTGCCCGTCGCGCGCGTCCGCGGATGTCGGATTAGCCGCTACCCGTCGCCGCCCGTTTTCTCCGCCGCACGGCTCGGTTGTTCGCTAAAGCCGACAGACCGCTCGCCCCGCCCTGCGGCACATACTCGCCATGCATATACCCCAGCCGAGTCTTGAGGTCGTGAGTCGTGGCGAGTGAGTGAGTTGGGATAAGGTAAAGTGAGCTGAGGTTAGGTAGTGTGCGGTGAAGAAGTGTTCGTGTCAGATTCAAGGAGCCAACAACATCTAGGCCAGCCTCGGAAGGTCTACTTTGTGGTGGCTCGGCAGCCCCACCAAACAAGATCAACCAATTGGGCTCGTGAGGGGTGGTTGAACATCCAACTAGGGAGGGTTCCATCACCGTAGATTTGAGCGGTTAGAGAAACCGTAAGCCTTGGCACGGTATTGTCCAATTGGAAAATTGCAATGGCAGTAGAGTCGGGAGGTTAGATGGATATGGACAGTTGCAATTGCAGATTTCCAACTTTAGCGAGTTCGACGCTTTGACTTCGTGACGAGTACACTCTACACAACCGTGACGAGTTTACATACGGAGCGCGAAATTCCTCAGACATGATTGGCTGCAACCAAACTTTTGAACAGGTCGTCTTGAAAACAGATTTCGAACCCAACAAGGTATGTCCGACGGTTCAACATCCACACTTTCCCGTGAATTTCAAACAAACCCATTCTCTCGTCTAGATATGTCAATTGAGTTCCTGCGACTGTCATTCGGCTAGCTTCGTTCCTCGGCTGCAAATAACTAGGAATTCCTAGTACTAGGTGCTGCAATATCGCGCGAGATTCTAGCTTTGCGCTGCAACTGCTCAAGGCTCTGGACGAATCAATTCCAGATTTAACACAATAAAGTTCTTCCCGTGCACAGAAAGGTTAGTTTTGCCATCTTGCATCCTCTTCTCTTTTGGTCTGCCGTACTCGTGATTTTTCGCCTCAAATGTGCCATTTTCAGGCCTCTGCGCCTAATATTTGCCGCTCCTAAACCCTGAGGATCTGCGAACGTGCTTTCACAGGAATCATCGGAACCTATACTTGTGTGTCAAACAGCATGCCATCCAGTGGCTTGATGTTTGATAGGCATCGCTGGGAAATTTTTCGCGATGCCTGGGATAGGCGTGTTGCAATACACACTTACAGCGTGTCACTTGCAGGTTGATTTCGACACCCCATCCGGCATCATTCCCAACACCTGGTTTCCCTCCAAAATCAAACTCGCCATTTCCTTGCTGCGCCCAAGTACTGTACACAGCCAATTGCGGAAAAAGGTTCCGTGCATTTTTTTTCTCCGGTCAAGAGTTTCGGATTGATGCAAAACATTTGTGAAGAAATCGAAGTGTGACTGTTCGCCATAGAGTGACTCGACATTCTTCGCGAGCGAGGCCGAACTACAGTAAAACATACTACCACATGTAACTGTTACAGTATGCCTTGTTTTGTTGAATCGGGAATCGTGATCGGATATAAATTAGAAAACAACTCTCGGTGCTACTGGAGCAATGGGGGGGTGCTACTTTCTAGCCTGTAGTGGGGTGCTCTATAGCGAGTACAACCATTCTAAGGTTTGCTAGTTCAATCCTCTTCTTTCTTCTAAACTTTCACATGCTATCCGAGCAGGTCGATCCCCTTGGATCGATTCTGTGGGTGGGTTACCACCTCCTCGCTTCCGCTGCAACTACCTTTCACTACTCTCTGAGCCGCACGCCCCCTGGCGTGCGGCACTTTTTCTTCCCGCCGTGCGCCCCGAGGCACGCGGCGGTTTTCTGCCCGCCGTGCGCCCCGAGGCGCGCGGCGGTTTTCTGCCCGCCGTGCGCCCCGAGGCGCGCGGCGGTTCTCTTCCCGCTGTGCGCCCCGAGGCGCGCGGCGGGCTTCTGCCCCGTCGTTCGCCGCGTCGCCCTCTGGAGGCGCCGCGACGGGCGACAGGGACCCGTCGCGGCGCACTGAGGGCACGCGCCTCGGCCCCGTCGCCCTACCTGCGCCCCGGCCCCGGCCCCGCCTGCGGCCCCGGCCCCGACGCCCTACCTGCACCCCGGCCCCATCGCCCTACCTGCGCCCCGGCCCCGGCCTCGCCTGCGGCCCCTTTTCCCGTCGCCTGTCGAGGCGACCCTCGGGGGTTGCCCCTTCTGCTGCCTGTCTTGGCGCCCAGGGAGGCCGCGCGTCGGTCCCCCCCCCCCCCCCCCCCTCCCCCGTAACCTCCCTACCCGCCATCCCACCCTGCCTGTATTAGGGTTTGGGGAGTGGCGAGTAGGGGGTGGCGAGTATGGGGGTGGCACTTCTGCATTCCTCCCTTTGCTCCTCCTCCTCCTTTGTCTCCCACTGCTGCAGCTGTCGCTGAGGGGGGTGGATGTGTGGGAGACTGGGGTTTAGGGTTTAAGGGGGGTGCGTGGGAGTGGAGCTAGCGGTGTAGCAACGGGTGTGTGCCAGGGGGAGTGGGATAGTTTGGGGAAGCTGTATAGAGGTTGCCGTTGTGTCGCCAGCAGCACCCGTATTCCGGGGACTTCGTCCAGTAGCCCAGTCGTAGCCAGCTGTGCCAGCCGCCCGTGGGTCCGTTGCTCGTCTGCCGCTACTTTAGCCGCGGGGCCTGTTACTTTTGTATTCTGGGGACTTCGTCCAGTAGCCGCTGTGCAAGTCTGCCTCCTGTTGCCCGTGTGTCTGCAGCTTCAGCCGTCGCCTCCTATCTCCTCTCCTCTCACTCTCTCTCCTCCTCCTCGCTTGCCCGTTGTGACTACCACTAGCTTTGCTCATAATTGTACCCTTTAAACTATTGCTTCTTGAACTTGTGCTCAGAATGTGTGGTGACATTGTGATCCACCCTGAGCTTGTACTGCTTTGCTTCCTCTGCTGATTACACCCCACTTTGGCTATGGGGGTGTGTCAGAATGTTATCTTATGCTCTAGCCTGTAGTGGGGTGCTCTATAGCGAGTACAACCCTTCTAAGGTTTGCTATTTATATCCCCATTCTTGCTACTTCAATCCTCTTCTTTCTTCTAAACTTTCACAATAGTTTAAAGTTAACAACTATGAGCAAAGCTAGAGGCTATCGCAGAGGGCAAGTGAGGAGGAGGAGGCGAGAGTGAGAGGAGAGGAGATAGGAGGCGACGGCTGAAGCTGCAGACACACGGGCAACAGGAGGCACACTGGCACAGTGGCTACCGAAGCAACTCTCCGGACTACTGGAGTAACTGGCCCCGCGGCTAAAGTAGCGGCAGACGAGCAATGGACCCACGGGCGACTGGCACAGGTGGCTACGACTGGGCTACCGGAGCAACTCCCCGGACTAAAGGTGCTGCTCGCGACACGACGGCAGCCTCCGTTCAGCTTCCCAAATAGTCTCACCCCCCTGACACACACCCCCTACTGCACCCCTAGGGTCACTCACACCCCACCCCCTAGCACGACTCCGTCGACTCCCACAAACCCACCCCCCTCAGCGGCAGCAGCGGCAGCTGCCAACCCCCCACTCGCCACCCCCAAACCCGAACACAGGGCAGGGCGGGATGGCGGGTAGGGAGGTTACGGGGGGGGGGGGGGGCGACGCGCGGCCTCCCTGGGCGCCAAAGTAGGCGGCAGAAGGGGCGACGCTCGCCCCCACCCCCACGTCGCTCCTCCCGCAGCCCCCTCAGGTCGCCTCGACAGGCGACGGGAAAAGAGGGGGGGGGGGGGGGGGGGGGGGGGGGGGGGGGGGGCGGTGCACGTGCCCCCGGTGCGCCGCGGCTGACGACAAGGCATGGCCGGGGCGGGGCCGGGGCCGCAAGTGGCGGCGACGGGGCCGCTGGCGGCGACGACGGGGCCGATGCGGGCGGGGACGGGGTCGCTGCGGGCGGCAACGGGGCCGCTGCGCGCGGCGACGGGGCCGCTGCGGGCGGCAACGGGCCCGCTGCGGGCGGCGACGGGGCCGATGCGGGCGGCGACGGGGCCGACGCGCGGGTCCCCGTCGCCCGTCGCAGCGCCTCCCGAGGGCGACGCGCCGAGTGATGGGGCAGAAGCCCACCGCGCGCCTCGGGGCGCACAGTGGGGAGAGAACCGCCGCGCACCTCGGGGCGCACGGCGGGCAGAAAACCGCCGCGCGCCTCGGGGCGCACGGCGGGAAGAAAAACTGCTGCAAGCCACGGGGCGTGCAGCACAGAGAGTAGCAGTAGCAGTTGCAGCAGAAGCAACGAGGTGGTGAGTCCACCCACAGGATCGATCCTAGAGGATCGACCTGCTCTGATAGCATATTAAAGTTTAGAAGAAAGAAGAGGGTTGAACTAGCAAGAATGGGGATACAAATAGCAAACCCTAGAAGGGTTGTACTCGCTATGGAGCACCCCACTACAGGCTAGAGCATAATATTCTGACAGTCTGGGGTGCAAGAAACTGGGTAGTGGTGCTCCAGGGAGGCAGCGAGCAGAGCACTTCCCTGCTGGTGTGCCAGCGAAGCACCAACTTGTGAAGATTCTGGTTCATACACCAGCGAAGCACCAATCAAAGCACTTCTCTGTGCA